CGCCAACCAGAATCGATGCTCACTAGGAAATAGAGAAGTTCCAGCCAAAGCTTGGGTTTAGCTAAAGTTGCCCCATCCCCTCCCTCTGTCAATTTCCCATTTCGCTTACTCTTCCTGGTGAAGGGTTAGAGGGCAGGAGGCTGTAAGGAGGCAGATGTTGTTTCTGTGTGGTGGGCAGGAGAAGGTGCTTGTGGGAGAGTGAGTTGAAGGGGGTGGAGTGTGCTGTGTGCAGAGATGTGACATGGAAATTACAGTCACTGCAGGGCTGCTTTTGTGCAGGGAAACTTCTGGAAGATGTCAAAGTTAAAAGCAAGAAACAGCTCCCTACAAATAGCATTTCTGGGAGTCCCTGATGAGAAGCTCCTGTCCAAATCCTCAGGGATCTCCCAGTGCCAGCCAGATACCTGTGTGGGGATGGAATATGAGCCCCAACTCCTCCCTTCCAACTCCATGGTGCCCTGGCACTGGGACATCCTGCCCTCTACTCTAAGGAGGGAGCTGCCTAGATTCTTAGCCAACAAGCCAGAGTTAAGAGGTGAGGTCTATGCAAATTTGCTCTCCTGGCACGAATATGGAAGAGACACAGGTAGGGACTTTCTGTCTTTTGCTCCTTGTCATCCTGTTCTGAGCTGCTCTGACCACCTCTGCAAAGATAAAACGTGAGCGGGTGCATTGCTGTGGTTGCCCATGTGGACCATCTTGCTTTGTTGGGAAGAGAGAGTCAAACAAACAGTAATACCAGCCATAATACCTGTCAATACCTTGCTGCCCACTCAGTACACACCAGGACTGCTTTCAGGGGCTCTGTTTGCTTTCTGCTATGTGAGTTGTGGTTAACAGAATCAACCCTCCAGAGTGACCAAACACCTGGACTCTGAAGCCAGAATATCACGTATGTCACTCACAAAGCTGTGCCGAAGTTTGAGCAAGTTTCCCATCCTCTGCTGGTGCCTATTTCTACAGAGTAAGAAAGCAAGGGTTTCAGCGATAAGGGAGTGGGATGAATTGGTCCATAACTGTAAAGCACCTAGAACAGCGTCTGGCACTCACTTTGTGCTCAATATGCATTAGAGTGATCACACTGTAAATAGATGAGGAAAACTGGGGCTCAAAGTGGTGCCATGTCCAAGCTCACCTAGCTAGGAAGCTTCAAGATTCAAAAACTCAGCTCTTGCCCACTGGTAGTACCCTTCCTGAGATGACTACGTGGGTCTCCTGGAAATTGGGAAGGGCAGCTCAGCCTGCTGCAACCCTGCAGCAGACACAACTTCTCTTTCTAGAGAACCTAAAGGAACCTGGCAGGGTATTGCCAGCCTAGGTTCAGGCTCTGGAGGACATGGTCCCTATCTTCACAGTGCTGCTAAACGCTCCAGAAAGCTGAAGCAAGATAACTTCTCAGAGCCCCAGAGATGGGGAGAAAGGGAGAAGAGAAAATAAGAGGAAGACATATTTTCACATTCTAGAAAAAACGTTGGAAGTGAAGAGTGACAGGCAGTGTTGCACTGGCTAGTTGTCTCAAAGGTACACCATGACAGATCTCAGCCACAGAGTCAGGCCACTGCTGGGTCCTTGCAGTCAGAGAGCTTCTGAGTTTGGCCCTGAGCTTGGTACCAGATGACACACCTTGTCATTCCTGCCTGGTTCTTCCCTCTGGCCTATATCAGCACATCTTACAAGATGATCTGCAGCAGGCAGCGCGTAGTCAAGGCTCCTGAGACACTGTGTAAGGTGTGGATTCCTGAAAACATCTGTAGTTGGTCTTTCTGGGGGCAAGGGCAGAAAACTACATTTCTCTCAATACTTCTAGAGGTTTGATGTAAATATGCACACCTTGGAGAACTGTTACTGGGAAAACTGAGCAAAGGAGGGAATGGCTACAGGTCACACAGCAAGTGAGAAAGAAAACCAGGGACTGGAATCCAGGTTTCCGTACTGCCAACCTGGGTCTTGCGCATGTACCTCTTGGAAAATCTAACCCCTCATCACTTCAGGCTAAAGACCTGAACCACCCTTTCCACACGTGGTACCCTGTTTCCATATCCCATCCCCTAGCTCCAAGTTCAAACTCAGTAGAGCTCAGCTCATCTTTAGGGGATGGGTCTTCCCTGTTCCCAGAAGGCTGAAAAACCTGCTTCCTGATCTCAGGGAATACAGGAATGTGGTGACCAGTTTCTACACTTTCCGACCTGGGAGGCAGCCGTTGCCAGACCCTGCCAGTCAGGGTGCATGTCCTCAGTCAAGGAGCAAGGAATGAGCTGCTTCTGAAGTTTGGTGGCTCGGAGCTAGTTTAGAAGAGCAGGCACATGGGTCCCCTGGCAGCAGTGGCAGGGCCGACAGCCATGCCTTGGTCTCATTCCTGCTGTCAGAAGTGCTGGGCTGACAGGTGAGGGCTGGGCACAGTTTGATTGGAAGTGACAGGCACTAATGGCTGCTCACTGCCCTAAGCACAAACTTGACACATCAAGTGGATTCCAGTAATGATGACAGGGAAGGCACTAGGCACAATCTCCTGGGAGGAGGAATTAGAGGACCTTGTGGCCCTCTGCTTGGATGTCCAATATAAGCTGTCTGGAGGCATGGCATCTTGGGAAGGAGTTAGTGGCTGGAGGAGAGCTGGGAGGGGGTCCTTTCCTGTTTTCTCACTTTCCCAGGTCAGGGTCACACAGAGTTCTTAGCCCTAGCCTGGGTTACCAAACTATGTAACCCTAATCCTGACAGCTGGAAGGAGACTGACTGTCATCCTGCCCCTGGACACAGACTATGCTGCCCTACAATGAGAGCAGGTGCCCCACCTCCCACATCAGCCCCTCAGGTGGGTCATACGTGTGTTCTTCATCCCTGTGGCTCAGCCAGATGGAGAACCAGCTGCTGCCCCCTTTGTCCCTTCAGTGAATGTCCAGGAACAACCCTCATGATCCTGCAGAGTGCCTCAGCAGGAAGAGTCCCATCCATTGGGGTGGGGCAGGGGTGTTTCTCCATGTGACTGTGGCTGAGACTGAGACTGGTGGTCCCTAAAGGAGACAGTAGAAGTGTTCACACCACACACACACACACACACACACACACACACTGACAAGCACACCCCTCTTCTGCTTCCTGCACAAGAAACATCTTTGGCTTGTGCTACACTTTGCACCAGCTACACTGAACAAGTCTAGGGTAACAGGGCTTAGGATCCTAGTCGGGACCTAGAGTCCTAGTCTGGATTCAGGCCATGGCTCTACTACTACATATCAGCTTTGTGATCTGGGTTAAATTACTTAACCTCTCTGTGCTTCGGTGCCTTGCATAGACTGCATGAGTTCACACATGGTAAGAC